ATGATAATTACTTGTACTAGGTGTTTCATTTGTTACATGAGGTTCGAAAAGTTGAATCTCATGACTGATATTTTAATTAATGTTGACTATTGTACAATTTACAGAACAATTTATCAATCTCATTCTTCCTCTTATATTTCAATGTACGTGTTTTTTGCTTGCAAAAATATGTGATTATGTGTCATACCTCTAATGCTGAGCTTGTAAGTGTGATTTGAACAAGAGTCTTTATTAAACAGTCTGAATTGATGACTGGTTTATTAAATAATGAAATGTGGTATATCCCATACCTCCAAATGGCTTAAAAGTTTATCACTGCAGAGTGTGTGTTTATGGAAAAAAAAGGGGGGGGGGGGTTAGCAGCTGAACTGCGCAATTAAATCCGAAAGGGAATTCCCACTTGGTGCCACTTTGTGGCGTTTCATTTGGAGGAGGGTGGGGGCGGGGCTACTCACCCCGCTGGCGACTCAGCGACATGGTCCTGATTAGGAAGGGGTCTGGGCTGCCAAACCCCTGCTCCACCAATCACGAAGTCTCATTAAACGAAAGCAGAAAGAGGAAGGCACCACCGTAGGGAACTGGCGCGGGCAGTGAGGGTGCGAGACCGCGGCGAGCCTTTCGGCCGTAAGCGTTGGGAAGGAAACTACTTTTTGGTCCGATTAACTCCCATCTCTCGCGACCCCAAGGCGAAAACCGTTACGTATTGAAGATTGGTTGGTCGGAGCCCGTGTCCGTATGGAGGAGACAGTCCAGATACCTGGTCCCGCTACGCGCGACACGGCTCTCTCTCCACCCGGCGGGGCAGGGCGGCGCGAGCTTATCGGTCATTGGCGTTGGGAAGGGGCCTGACCCGTCCTGGTGGATGGATGGTTTGGTACGAGTACAAAATCTCCGCTCCTCTCCCCGTCCAGCGACCTCTCCAGTCTCCGAGCAAGATCCAGGCACAGCCCCGCCCCGCCGCGCCCCGCCGCGCCCCGCCGCGCCCCGCTCCGGTCCTCGCCGCCGCCGCCCCGCGAGTGGGGGTGGTGGGGGCACGAGGGTCCGGTCCGAGCCCGACCCGCGGTGCGACGTCCGCGAGCAGCTCTCAGTCCAGTCCGGGTCCAGGCCTGGCAGCAGCAACAGCGGGCGACAGCAGCAGCAGCTGCAGGTGCGAGCGCCAGGTGCAGCCGAGGGTCCCGCCGAGCCCTCCCGACGTCACCTCCACCATGGGTGAGTACGTGACGAACGCGGTCCGTGGGAGCGCCGATGCGGTTGCGAGGAAGTGCAAGAGCTTTGGCGGCCCGCGGGCTTCGGCGAACTGCCTCGCACTCTGCATCACTCGAGGGACTTGAGGCGCCGACCGCGGGGCCCTGTTGGGGCTTCCCCGAATGGAGCGGCGACACCAGTTCGGCTCGGCCCCGCTCGCTCGGCTCCTCGTCGTGTCTGGAGGGAAGTCGTGACACGCGCGACGCCAATATACCCAGTGAGAAATGACATCTTGAACGATATCGTTGGGATGTCGAAGTCGTAAGGTACGACGACTGCGCCATCTTCGTCGATCTCTTCTTGCTTGAAATCCATTTCCGGCATACATTCCAAACTCTTTCGTTTGAAAGCTTGGGGATAGCTGCCAAACTGTCTGTAAGCACAACAGGAACGCTCGCAAAACGAAAGTTTAAATCTGAATGACGCTGCTGTAGTGTGTTCGTGTGTCACGGGGTCGGGACATTTCGGGAACGGTAGTGTGTATTGTGGAATCATACGAGGAGGGATCAACGTATCACCTTTAGCGGGAGAGCAGCGGTCAATAAACACGGTCAGCCAGCATCAGTAGCCGAGTCAAGTACTTGTTACGTGTCAGGTGCGCGCGCAGCGTGACTTGAGCCCCTGCACTTACGCCTCTTTTAGTGGTCTGTGCAGAGAGTACACGACCCGCCACGACAATGACCGGCGCAGC